ATGGAGGTGGGTTAAAAAAAAGTCCCCCACACAAGCCCTTACCAGCACTGCCCCATATATCAAAGCATCTGGCAGGAACACAGCATTTCACTTAGCGTTGATGAAGCCAGCCCACCCTCCCCTGTAAATGCTTTCAGAATTGCAGGTGGCTCAGTCAGGCCTTCAAGTGAATGGTCTTGGACGTGGGTTGCTGGATAAACTGAGATGACTTCCCCCCTCCCGTTGAGATGATTTAGCATATAGTGCAGCAACCCTACCAGACAGGCCCAGGAGACTTGAAATGGACTCTTGGCATCACTGGAGTGGGGGCTGGGGTGGGGTGGGGGAGTTGCTGATAGGCAGGAGCAGGGAGGATTGCCAGGAAGGGCCCTGGGCAGTGAGTGTGATGCTGCCAACCAAGTGTTCATCCTTCCATTCACTCACAGGCCGGAAATGGGAGATTCGACTTTGACACCACATTCTCCTTCCTTACTGAATTTACTCCCATGTCCTGGAACGTTACCTCTGAAACGTTGCACAAGTTGATTTACTTCTCTCCAGCCTCACCACCATCACCCACTTCCAAGAACCTTAGAATGAAGACCAACTTCTTTAACAAGGCTATCTCCACTGTTAGTGCCTTCCTTTCAATTCAGAGCCTGTTCTTGTTTTGGTCACAGGACATTTGCACATGCTATTTCTCTGACTGAGACACTTCTTCTTCCCCTTTCTCTGCCTAGTTAGCCTCCATTGGCCCTTCAGATTTAAGCTTAATCATCATTAGTTTGGGGCTTCCCTGAACTTCTTGATAAACACAATTCCCCTCCACCCCATAAGGTATCATGTATTTTTCCTTGTGGTACTTTTCAGAGTTATAATTTTATGGTTTTCTTTGGGTTTCTAAAAATTAATTTGTGTCTTTTACTATACTGTGAGCTCCCTGAAAGAAAAGACTGTCTTTTTTTCTCTCTTTTCTCTCCCTCTCTCTTTCTCAATATTGTACCCCTACTGCTAGCACAGTGCTTAACATATGACACATGCTTAAGGAGTATTTGTTGAGTAAATGAATAAATCTGTATCTGTTTGGTGTTAGGATCTGGGGCGGGGAGGGGAATAAGAGCGTTAATGAAAATAAGTAAAAATCATCCCTCTTAATGTCCAGTTTAGCTAGAAAGAAAGAACCAGAACACATGGAATAACAATGAATCACAGAGAGAGCACACTCCCACAAGCTGAGCTGTGCAGATTACGCAATCATGCTCTGAGGGACAGAAAGAACTTTAAAAATGAGAGGAAGCAAAAGAACCCTAAGCATTTAACAATTCAGTATTTATACATTCTATGCCTCATGTTGGTAAACACACAAAGACGCTTGACACATGGGACCTAACCCAAGGTCTGACAATCTGGTTGGGCACGATTCAGTGCAGTGCTTATGTACCCAGCAATGGCCTGAGCAAAACCTCAGAGGGCCAGCCTCCAGAGAAAGAGGGCGAAGCAGGTCCCTACTGAGTGACAATCTCCATTGTGGACTGCCTGCTCCCTGAGCCTGGAACAGAGACCAGGTTTCAATGTGCGGATCCAGGGATGGCAGAGCCCTCTTACTAAAAGGAAGAGGTGGTTTAGAGAAAATGGGCAGCTGCTGAGTCTTGGAAAGTCACCGGAAGTAGAGGTGTGATCTTCTCTCTTCCCGTTCCTCCTACTTAAATCAAGAAAACCTGAAATGCATCCAGAACTTCTGGGGAAGGGGCTGCACTCTAAGGTGTGATATTGTGATTTATAATAAAAATATATATATTTGGTCTTTGACTCCCTTCCTGGCACAGAGCTCCTAAAAATCTTGGAATTTCCTGTATGAGAACTATCAAGGTATCTTTTTATCTTTTGGCAAGCACCTAAGAATGGGGGCTGGTTGCCAGTGGAACCAGTCATGTCATTAGAGGGTTGAAACCTTCAGTCCCACCCTCCAAACTCAGAACTTGGGAGAGAAGAAAGGGGCTGGGAGTTGAAACAATTGCCAGTGGCCAATGATTTAATCAGTCATGCCTCTGTAATGAAGCCTCCATAAAACCCAAAGGACAGGACACAGACAGCTTCTGCTTTGGTGAACACACGAAGACGTGAGGAGAGTGGAGCTCTTGAAGAGGGCATGGAAGTTCCACATCTCTTTCCCCATACATTGCCCAGTGCGTCTCTTCCACCTGGCTATGTCTGAGCTATATCGTTTTATAATAAACTGGCATCTAGTAATAAACTGTGTTCCTGAGTTATGTGAGCCGCTCTAGCAAATTAATCAAATCCAAGGGGGCGGCGGGGGTGTCACTGGAACCTCCAATCTATATAGCCAGTTGGTCAGAAGCACAGGTAATTCCTGAACCTATGATTGCCATCTGAAGTGTGTGTGTGGTTGGGGCAGTCTTGTAGGACTGGGCCCTTAACCTGTGGGATCTGATGCAATCTCCAGGTAGATAGTGTCAGAATTGAGTTAAATTGTAGGGCACCCCACTGGTGTCTAAGACATGTAGGG